GGGCCGGGAGGCTGCGCCTCGGGACGCGGCGCCGCGGGGCGCGCGCAGCTGGCTATGCGGCCGCGGGGCAGAGCAAGAGCACGCGCCACCAACGCGGCCCGCCCTCGGGCGGCAGCGCCGGCTGCGCGAACGGAGCAGCCCCGGGTCTTACGCCCCGGCGCGGGCGGGGGCCGCGGCCTGGCGCGGCGCGGCGCGGCGCGCGACGAGGCGAGGCGGGGCGGGGCGGGGCGGGGCGACAAACGGCGGCGCGGGCCGCACCTGATTGCCTCGTGGCGGATCGACAGCGGCGGCAGCCCCACGTTGCCGAAAGCCACCTCGCCCTCGCTCACGCGGGCCGCCAGGCGGCCGAACACCTTGGTGGCATCCTCCAGCTGCCCGCAGCGCGACATGGCCTGCACACGATCGATTCATTGAGGAAAGGTGGGTGGGTGAGCAAGCACGCTGTTGGATGGGAGGGTGGATGGGCGTGGAAGGGGAAGGGTTGAGGCGGGGCGTTGCGTCCCGATGCTGGGGGCGTAGGCAGGGCCCGAGCCACGAAGAAGATGCGCGCCCCCCTGCGACCTGCTCTCCCCCTCACTCTCGACAACCCTCAAACCCCGACCTACCGCAAACACGAAAAGGATCCAAAGCACTCTCGTCTAGACTCAACCCCCCCCCCGGCAAAAATCCATCGAATTACCGCAACACCAAGAGCCGCGGGCCCCACCTGCGCGGCCAGCAGGTTGAGCATCAGCGCCGCGTGCCGCGCGCGCTCCTGCCCCGCGCGGCTGCGGTCGAAAACAAACTTGATGCCGCGCTTCGCCGCGTCGAGCGCCGCGGCCGCGTCGGACGCGTCCAGCGCCAGCTCAGCGAGGGCGATGAAGGCGCTGGTGGAGGCGACGCCGGCGGCCAGCGCGCGCGACAGGACCTGCGGGGGGCCCAGGGGTGCGGGGTTTTGCGGGTGACGCTTTTGCGGGTGACGCTTTTGCGGGTGACCGTCTTGCGGGTGACGGGTTTGGGGGTAACGGGTTTGGGGGTGGCGGTGTCACCGGTGAGGAGAGCGAGGGAGGGCCGGGAAGCGCCTGCCCCGCCAACGGCGGCGCGAGCACCGAGCGATGGCGCGCAGGCCGCTTTGGGGGGCGGCAGCGGGCGGGGGGCGCATACTGTACGCTTGATGAGCGCCGGCGCGGGTCGGCGCCGCGCTAGCGCGGAAAGTGACTGCACCAACCCCAGCAGCAGCAGCCAAAAGGGGGGAAGTCCAGTGTATGGGAGGGGGGGAGGGGCGGCCCTCACCGTCATGAGCCCGGCGCGCCGCCGCTTGCGCCGCGCGGCGCTGCGGCGCGCGCTGAGCGCCGCATCTGAGCAGGACCAGTCGGTGAGGTGCGGGCCGCCCCAGCTGCACTGCAGGCGCAGGGTGGCGGCGCCGGAGGGCAGGTAGGCCTCGCGGCGGCGCAGGGCCAGAGCCAGGTGGGCCTTGGGGTTGGGGGGCCGGGGAGGTGGAGGGGGGTGGTTTTTGGGGTTTAATTTTGGGGGTTCGGGCAACGCAATTTGAGTTGACAGGGCAGGGGCAAACGGATGTTTAATGCAGTGTGTGCATGCGTGAGCGGGGGCAGGTGTGTGTGTGTGTGTGTGTGTGTGTGTGTGTGTGTGTGTGTGCGTGTGCGCTTGTGCGCTCACGTGAACAAGCAGGGGCACAGATGGCAACCCGCAGTCGACAACACTGAACACCAGAAGCTACACAGAAGCTGGACCCCACGTCGCGGCTTTCGCACGCAGCCCACCCAACAAGGCTGCGGCCAGGGCGGCGGGATGCCTGTCGAAGCACAGCCGCGGCGCAGCTTCCAACTCACAACACAAGGAAGGGACTAGGGCACGCACACACGCCGACAGCCCTGCGTCCCCTGTGCCCCCCGCACCTGCCCTGTCTTGTTCCAAGGAAACGCGTGCACCATGCGCTGCGCAATCGCCTCCGAATCCCGCGCCAGCAGCGGCGACACGTGCCCGCCGGCCGCGTTCGCGCCGCCGGGGGCGCCGCCAAAGGCGCCGCCGCCGCCTGCCGCGCCCAGGTGCGTGGCCGAGCCCCCAGACGCGAGCTGGGGGTGCGAAAACGTGTGGCTGTAGTCAAATGAACCGTAGCGAGACATGCCCCCGACGCCCAGCGACAGCGGCTGCAGCCCCCCTGCCCGCGGCGTCGCCGCGCCGCTCGCGGGCCCCGCGCTCGCCAGGCGCGGCGGCGCGAGGCCGCCGAACGCGCCGGAGCCGCCGGGGGTGAGCAGGCCGGACGAGGAGAGCGGCCCCGCGGATGGGATCGACGACGCGACCGCGGCGGCCGCCGCGTGAAGCTCCCGAGAAGCTGCCTGCAGGTCCAGGCTCGCCGGCGCGTCGCAGCGGGCCATCGGGTTTGAGACGAGCTCGCAGAGCCGCGCGGCGCTGGGGTGGCGGTGCTCGGAGAACGCCGCCGCGGCGCCGCCGCGCGGCGGCATGCCCGGGGACGGCGGGACAGACGGCGGCGCGCCGGCGGCGCCGTTGGCGCCCAGCTGGACAACCAGGGAGTTTTGGATAGAGAGGGACCCAAAGAATGACCCCTGGTGCTGCAGCGAGCCGCCGGCGGCGAGCAGCGGCGCCGGCGACGGCGCGCCGAACGCGGGCGGCGGCGTGCGGGAGCCGTTGTTGGGCGTGCGCGCGCCGGACGGCAGCGCGACGCGCGGCGAGGGCGGGACGCTCCCGCCACCTCCGGCCATCGCCAGGTCAGCCTGCGGGGACGTATGGAAGATTGGAGTAGACAGCGGTGCAAGGCACTCGGTGCGACGCAACACATGCCCGCCTGCAATCAGAGGCATCACACGCCAGCACCATGAAGCATGAAACCACACAGCGACCCTGGAC